GCGGTGATAAAATACCCGATCTCAAACTCTGTTTGAGACGACCTTTTGGACAGCTGGAGAAATTCCGGAATTTTTGAGTGGGAGGCTTTGGGCTGGGCGTGTGGGTCCTGCCACCCCCCGGCACAGGAGCCGCAGGGCTGGCGGCACGCGAGCGGCGCTGGAAGTGGCACAAGGAAGACTGGCTTCCTCCTGGTTTGGGATTTGTATGGGAGAAGAGGTGGGGACTTGGAAACCTCTCTGAATCCTCAGGTGTATCTGCTCCAACACTTGATGCAATCTGGAGTGTGTGCGCGGTAGTGCCTCTCGGGGGCTTGCAAAGATAAAGTGAGTTTTCAAACTCATTGAAAATCCATTTCAAAGACGTTTTAAAAAGCTAAAAGCTTTTTTTCAAGCTGCTCCTGCTTGGGAGCTTCCTTTGCAAATCCAACCCTCTAACACTGACAACCATTTAAAAGCAGTGGCATATTAAGAATGGGGACTAGCATAATTTCCAAGTGCCTTGCCCAGTTCGCTCGGAGTTGAGGTAGGGCTGCTGGGGTCCCAGGTCCAGAAGAAATGGCTCCATCAGGATATTGTTGTTTGCAGATTAAAACTACAGAGATGTCTGCAAATCAGATTCAAAGCAACACTCGGCGGCTTGTGGACCAGATGAGTGTAACAAGGACCCAGATAGAAGGAGACGTCCGGCGCATCCAGCAGTTCATCCAGCAAGTCCGGAACTTCTTGTCAGGTAGCGCTCTGCAAGCTGTAAAGTCTGTCTGTGCAGGCTGACGTGTGCATGGAAACCCCCCGATTTTTGCAGTGATATTGTGTATGAGAGTGCAGCACAAGGGAGTTGGCTGAAGAGCTCGCCCCGGTTAAGCTCTCGGATATCCAGTTTATCTGCACGTGGGTCTTTATGCAGCCAAGGTAACGTGCATCCTCTGAGACGGCGAGGCAGGCGCTTGGGTAGCGTCTTCTGAAAAAACGGGGAAGACATTTCAACAGCACAAAAGTCCATGATTTTGTTGGGAGTTGCAGTTTGGCCAGCTGACCTCCTCAGGCTTGACCGTGCTTGTTCGGATCGACCCGAATTAATCCTGGCTGTTTTATTGGTGTGGACTTCCCTGGGATGTCACCAGGGCAGACCCTGCCTGCTTCCTTCTGGGGACATTTGGGGACATCTGTGAGGTCCATGGGGCAGGAGGTACCGCATGGCCTTGACCTCCTGCATGCAGGGCTTCGTGGAGGGGTCTCATGACATCCCCCCGTGAATGGCTCTCAGATATTGTCTCCAAAACAGTGGAGTGAATTAATATAGGAGGAGAGCTGTGGGGGAGCTGGTCCTCTGTCTGTAGCACGGACAAGGGCTTGCTTTGGGTCCCACCGTCTGCCTTGTGCCATCTCTGGGGCTCGGGGACAAACCCGTCCCCGTGGCTGGTGCTCCCCCAGGATTTGCAGTCAGCATTGACCCCATGCAGGGAAGTTTGCCGGCAGCCCTCGCTGACCGGAGATAAACAGACAAATCTTCTCTGGAGCAGACTATTAATCAGATGAGAATTCCTTGTTGTCCCATAAACCGATGGGATGACTTATTGTTCGCAGACAGATTGTAATAACATAATGAGCCTCATGAGCATTAGCTGAATAACAAAATCAGGTCATTTGGTGCTGCCTGGTGTTAATGATGAGTGAAGATATTTCAGAGCTAATCGCTGGGTTAATGTCCCTTGGGCCTTGCCTGCCTCCGATTCCTCAGGTTTATTAACTTTTATTTGTGAAAGAAGAAAAGGCTCAGCTCGACACCCAGCCTCATCTGCTCGGTGAGGCCCCCCTGCCTCTGCTCTGGGCTTTAGCCATGGTGTTCTCGTCCCCAAATGAAAGTCATCATTTCAATATTTTCCTGAAAGTTTTGCTGATGTGAGTGAGAAGTACATTAAAGTCAAGGGGATTTAAATTCAGGGGGGATCCTGGCAGCTGTCTGAAATGAGGAGACTGGTGCGTGATGCATGCATGGCTGGGTGCCTGCCCTCGTCCTCCCTCCCATTCGCGCTCCTGCCTTTCCCCTCGCCCGTTTCTGAGGCCGTCTGTCTGTCTGTCTGCTCTGTAGACAAGGACGTGGACCCTGCCACTATCCAGGAAATCAGTGAGTCCGTTCTCTCCCTGCGCCTCCCCACGGATGCTGCCGCAGTCCTGAGAAAAATGACCGAGATCCAAAATTTGGCGACTAAGCTGCAGTGCCCGGAGAGCGTACTTGCCCAGACGGCCGAGGACATCGCCAAGGCCAAGCAGCTCCAGCAGGAGGCAGAACAGGCCAGGTGGGGTGGGGTTCAAGGGCTTTGGGCCGTGAGCGTGGCTGTTCTCTGCTCAGTTGATATCTCGCTCTGCTGGAGCTGCACCGACTCGCACAATGCAAAGTTTTAGCCCAGGACCTTCTATGTCCGTGCAGTGCCTAAAAGAATGAGTCTGCAATCTCTGCAGGCGCCTCCCTGGTGCCCCCATACAAATAAGAAATCTGGCTGCCAAGAACAGATCTTGTTATAGATACCAGAACAAAAGAAGGTCTTTACCAAAAATAATGGAGGCTTTTCTCTCTCTCTGGAGTCCCTGTGATGGGAGATGACAGGGTTGCCCTGGTATTACTTGATATTGGTGACCTACATCCTAATTGCACAAGCGAGCATGAGGAGATTAAATGGGCTATTTGTTTTCTGGGTGAAAGTTGGGAGGATTATCCCATGGTCCCTTAAAAAGTAATTACAGAGCGTCCTTGCAAATTTGGAGCATCTACTTTGTCACATGTTGACTTGCAGCAATATCCCAGCGAGAAGGTTAGTGGGATAAGGATGTAAACTCCTTGATAGTGTCTGACACCTGCTTAACCCGCTGGAAGTGATGAGGCAGGGAGTCTGGCTTTCTGCGGGGAGCTCTGTCACCCGACCTGAGAGTCCCGCTGCCAGCAGAAGAGTGTTCCCCGTGACTGGTTCAGTGGTTGTTGCTTTTCCTTCGATGCGTTTTCTTGCACTACTTACAAAATAAGTGTTGTCAACTCGTTTAAAGGAAGGGTTTTCTCTCCCCGTCTCGGTTTCTCTCCTCTGCTTGGGGGTATGAAATGGAAGGAACGCTTCTCTCGAGAAGAAACCTGCTGGAGTGCAGCACGTCCAGACGTGTGGGTTTGCAGCTTTTGGGGGAGGGAGGTTGCAGCCTTCCCAGTAACAGCCTGTCTTGCTTCTCGAGCCTCCTGATTCAGCCTCTGCAACCTGGACTTCCAGCCCTTGCAATTATCCACGCTCACTCCTGGCTGTTTCCCACATTTCCCCAGGAACCGGGCAAATGCCGTGGAGGGCAACGTGGAAGAGGTGGTCGGGAACCTGCGACGAGCAAACACGGTGCTGCTGGAGGCCCGGGGTGCTATCAGGGGCTCTGGCTCTTCCCTCCGGTTCATCCAGGAGCGTGTCGATGAAGTGAGTGATGTGCGGCGAGCTCCCGAATAACGCTGCCGTGCCCTGCTCACCGCTCCTTTGAAACTTCCCCACTTGGTAGAGCCCTGCACCAGCACAGCTGGGCAACGGGATCTGGTGAAGCTTTTGCTGTAAAAATCTCTTCTTTCTGCTGTGCCTCATGTGTGCGCTTCTCCAAATTCCATTCACGGGCCCTGCGGGGGCCCCCTGAGACGAGCCCCGGGGCTGCCGTGCTCGCTCCCTGCCGAAACCCCGCTTCTGCCAAGCGTCTGTCAAGCAGCGTAGCTGGTCCCTGCACAGAGGGAAAAAACCATCAGGAGTGGGGTTTGGATGTGATTTCCTTCTTAACGGGGGGCACTCTGCTTTCAGATTGAGGCTGTTCTTGGTCCAGCCGAGAAGAACGTGAAGTCCATTGCGGGCCAGCTGGACGGGCTG